ATAACATTAAGAGGAGAATTCAAATTGTGTAACCGACACGAGATTTGTTTTGTCGCATTGGAAGCCTTTCGTTAAAATAAAGACAAATTTCTTTGATTATGAAGAACCGAATTTTTATTAATATCTCGCCATGAAAAACTCCTACGAATTGGTGTACAGAAGCAAAGCGAACATAATCCGAAATTACATTCGATTCCCATCTTTGCATACAAAATCGGTACACTCAGGATACGGCACACAAGTACATCAATTATTGTGCACTTATATTACGCAGGAATATTACATTGAGAAAGACAGTAACTCTCAAACCTTTCAGAAGTGACAATAAATAATACTGATACACTTTATTGAAAACATGTTAAATATTGAGGACATTTAGCTATATCGCAATGAAATATACAAGATGTATTGTCGAATAATATTGTACGTTCAACGAGTCTGATTCAAAAGAGGAATTAAAAGAAAAAAGAAAGAATTGAAAAGAAGAATTGAGATTGTTTATGATATCTCGAATAAAACATCCATTTGGGTGCACTTCCGAAAGCAACACAATTCCGATTTTTTTTAAACTTGGTATACTTACGTAATTTGATGCGCTGATTACGAAAATCATAGTGAAAATTGGCGACTAGGTCATCTTCATGGTGAAAAACATAAAAAAAACCCATTTCGCGAATAAATATCAATGTATCACTTATACTTATAACATACGTTTTACTACTGCGGATGACCATATTTCACTACTTTGACCCTTTATATCTTGGGAAATATTGACTTTTGGGACTTGGTGCAATGATAACTTTTTATCAGCATGGCGAAAACTATAACATATTAAAATTTCAGCCAATTTGACCGAAAACCATTTTCCATAAGTTTTGTGCGGGGTCCTTTGGAAGCCGATTCTGAACGATTCCATAATCAGATGAAATAAACACAGACGCTAACACGGCTTTATTTGATTTATTATGTAAGTAATGAAGTGTGCGTATTGTTAAATATTTTTGCTGAAATTAGTTTATACAGAAATATAAAAAAGAATATTTGTTTCAGTGAATGCTATATCAGAATGACCGGTGACCCAAATAACCGGTGTGCAAATTGTAAATGTCAAAAGTCAATTACAAAAGATTTTGTCTCTCATAAATACATTGTCAAGTCAGAACAACGTGGAAATTATCGGAACTTTAGTAGAAAGTGAGTTGCAAAGTATAGATAAAGCTATTGAGGAAACGGTTGCAAAAATACAGGTGCTTAATTTTAAAAGTATTTACACGATAAAAAAATTAAAAAAAGCTTTAATTTTCGATTTATTTCTAATAGGATATGTTGGATAAATCTCGCGCGGCAGATTCAGGTTTGAAATTAAAAGTAAACGAACAAATCTTGGATTCGTGTACAGATCTATAATGAAATGCATAAGAAAATGAGTGCAGAAGTCTCGCTTGCTGCAGAAAGAAATTGTGGAACAGGGAAGGGTATGATAAACTTATATTTTAACAATTATTTGAAAATACTAATTATATATCTGTGTGATATATTAAATAATAGATAAATAATTAATATAAAAAAATATTATAATTAGAAATCTTAATAATATTTTGTTTAAGGAACTGTTTCTGCTACTTTTTACAAACAAATTTTACAAACGTAATCATCAATGATTCGAGAGTCTTAGACTGAAATCACACGATGCGGAAAAGGACTGCGGAATAGAGAGTGCGTCATTGAAGCAACCAATCAGCGTTATTCCGCATTTTACTTTCTAGCACTGATTGGTTGCTTGAATGACGCACTCTCTATTCCGCAGTTCTATTCCGTACCGTGTGATTTCAGCCTTAAGCCCATGACAAGAAAAACGTAAGGCCTTAAACGTAATCAGTAAGCGAATTGACTAATCACAGGGCTGCGTTTAGAAATTAAGCCTAGGTAACTCTAGGCTATAGTTTACGTTACGTATATTATATCAAAAATGCACCCAAGAGTTATTGAGTGTCATTTCTGAACGCACCCCAGTTGAGAACATAAGCAGCCGCCGCTTACGGCTCCGACACACTGGACGTAGAAACGCTTGCCGCGCGGCAAAATGTAACGCGGTAGCCAATGAGCTTACAGCTCCTAACATGTTCATTGGCTACCGTGTCACATTTTGCCGCGCGGCAAGCATTTCCGCGTCCAGTGTGCTGGAGCCATTACGTTCTCAACTATGATTGGTCAATTCGTTTACTGATTACGTTTACGGCCTTACGTTTTTCTATGTGTCATGGGCTTTATCTCGACAGCAAAAGCAATTGCTATATGGATGCAAACTTTTTATTGTAAGTGCCAAATATTGAAATGTAATCTTGTAATTTTTTGAAACATAGTTATGTATATTATTACATATTATTACAGAGAAGCAGCAGATAAAGTTGTATTAGGTAATGGCAAATTTGAGCAATTGGTTGTTGTCTCACAAGGCATTGCGGCATCTACTGCGCAATTGGTAGTTGCTAGTAGAGTTAAGGCTGATAGAAATAGTAGGGGAATGTCGTATAGGTTGGGACAGGTTCCGTTTTTGGTGTGTGGTTTCGACATGGATGGGAATTATGGTAATTATGGTATACCAATAAAAAGATATGGTTATTAGCTACAACTTTGCTGTAGAACGTAATTTGATATCGCGTTCGAGTCAAAAGTTATAGCCATTTTAATGAAGGCACCTTTTTCGACCGAAAAAAAATTTGCCGTATAAGTTGGGACACTTTCAAAAATATGAAAAATAAGCCAAACAATGCATTATATTTGAAAGTTTCTTATTATATGGTCATTATGCAACATTACATTGATTTTTGACGTTAGTCAGATTCGCAATTTTTGCACGTAAAATAACTAGTGTGTATTTTAGCACATTTCAAGTGCACCGGACGTTTGCACATGTTGCACTCGACTGCATTGTAGCGAGTGAGTTTTCGCGGCAGGTTTTTAAGGCATATTATGCAGAAGTCTACATCTTCGTCATCATCATTATCATCATCATCGTCCTCTGCTAAAGAAGAACTAGATTTTTTCTTTCCGCGTTTTACTGCAGTTTTTTTCCGTGCCGGTTCTGTCTGTGCAGGCTGTTTTCTCTTTAGCAGTTTTTTTTTTATATTCGCGGAGGCTTTTTCTTTCGCAACCAATTTTTTGTTGACCTTTTCTTTTGCTTCCACAATGTTTTCAGGCGACATTAAAATGCAGCTTTTCATTGACCTCCGACCACGATTTGATTTTAAATACGCCACAACTATAAAAATTTCAATCACAAACACAATTCAATTCATCAAAATATCGTTTGATTGACGTACCAATGTCTTGGAATAAAAAAAAATGCTGTCCCAACTTATACGACACAAGTGTCCCAACATTTACGATAGACATCATTTCGTGAAAGTCAGAAAATTAATTTCTACGACACTACATTTCGATTACCGTTCCTCACAATCAAACCACACATAATACAAGACACATTGAGCATACTTACATGAAAGAATGAAATTACTTTAGTCAAAAAAACAGCACGCGAAAATCAAGCTATAAATGTTTTCGGTTACACAATTTACGTGGTGCTTCATAAACACGTTTTCAACAACTGTCCTTCGGACTAATGTACATGAAACGTCAGTTTATAAACAAACGTTACTTCCCTAATCCTCACAATCGCGTCGCCACTGACCACAGTGGAGATATTTAGGTGTCCCAACTTATACGGTGTCCCAACCTATACGACATTCCCCTACTAATTTGACTAAACTCTTTAAAGCTTCGAGAGAAGTGACTCAAGCTATACAGCGAATGTTGTGGCAACTGCTAAAAGCTGCAATCATCTTGTTGAGGAAAATGGTATTTAATTTGAAAATACATTAAATTATTATATCACATGTGTACTGTTATTTAATTTTTTTTAATACTCCCGTATTTAAATTTTACAGAAGATCTAAATATGTCTAATCTAATTTTACATCAAGCTAAAAAAGACTCAAAATGGAGGCACAAGTGCGAATTCTATAGAATTGGGACAAGCTCTAGAAACCGAGAGATTACATCTAGCCGCACTTCGACGTTAGCATTATCAACTTGACGGCATTATCACTGCCGACTAAGCATTTTCCCGCTTTTCCATTTCGCCTTCAGCGAATTATCGTTGGCGTCAGACACGTACGGCGCATTGTAAAGGCTGCGCAGAATAAAGGGAACAGAGAACAGAGAATAAGAATTTCAACCATCTATCAGAAATCATATACTATGGAGTATATGATTTCTGATAGGTTGAAATTCTTATTCTCTGTTCTCTGTTCCCTGTTCCTTTTATTCTGCGCAGCCCTAAATATATTTAATTATGTAAATATGTAATATTATTGTAAATAATTATTAAATATGTAAACATTAATAAATTTGAAATTAAAAAAATTTATATTTATTTTTTGTGAAAAAAATTTAAAAATTAATAATAATTAAAAATAAAATAAGTCTAAAATAAGTCTGAAATTAATCTAAAAATATTGTCTTTAAGACGTCTAAAGGATAATGTCTGTATGATTTAACGTATCTGAAATTGATCATAAATCAATGTCCATAAGACGTCTTAAAGATAATATCTTTAAGACGTTATAAATCGACGCATAAGACATCTTTAAGACGTCTTTAAGACGTCAAATTGTTCTCTGGGTCGAGTTATGTGTGGAACTACAGTCGGTAAGTTCCTTATTTCCCAAAGACGTGAATACTCCACTGGAAACATTGGGTGCATTCAGTACTACAATTGCTCACTGAGCGCTCAGTGAGCGCTAGGGTCTCTAGTGAGCGCTAGAGCAAAATACTACGAGAGAGAAAGATATATATATACTATCTTCGTCTATTAATTCTAACCCATTCTAACCTTAATGTGCGACCGGAGTGTATATTTTCTTTCATTAGGCTGACAGCGTAAAAAATATTAATATTAAAAATAATAACATTAAATAAATATTATATTCATAGTAAAAATGGGTGGCTGCGCTGCTCCATATTATAATAATTCAGCTGTCAAAGATTATGCAATGAAAAGATTTCCTAGAAATTCTGAACGGCGAGATGGATGGTTAAAAAATGTTAACCGAGAAGATTGGGTACCAACAAATAATTCACTTCTTTGTGAAGTTAGCACGTTTGAATTTTTTAAAATAAAATAAATGAAATATATTTTTAATATTAATGTTATTAAAATAAATATTTTTATTATGAATACCATTAATATCATTAGCATTTGCGGACAGTATGTTTATAATTTTTATCATCAATATTTATAGATTTTCAAATATTTCAGTTACTCTAATAAGTTTTTAATAGCTTCCTAATACTTATTTCTATAATAAAGGATTTAAAAAATGCTCTCTCTAGAAATCTTTTTCATTTTATTATATTTATAATCATATCACAGTATATGTGACCATATCTAAAAGTATTTGTATTATACAGGTTCATTTTGCTCCAGAGATGTGGCAACAAAGAGCTAATGGTAAAAAAAAGTTAAAATCAGATGCTATTCCGACAATATTTGGCTTTTTTATCAAGAAGCAAAATAAATCAATAGAGAAAATGGACAATAATACGCAAATTATAGAATTTATCAATGATTCCAGAAATGATAATGTTCAAAATAAGGAACAAGTTCGTAATAATATAATACAGTTATTATATAAGGAAAGTAAATTTTAACATAACTTGTAAATAAATAAATAAATTTTTAGATTATTATAATTGATAATTCTGAGCCAGATATTCCATCGATACCATGTATTTCGCCTACAATGGAATCGAATAGAAGTGAAGTACAAATTTATAGCATCAATAATACAGAATCTGTTGAATTAATCAATGATCATTTAATAAAGGATGTCCAAAATAAGGAACAACAGGTTTGTATAATATAATTACTGTATTACAGGTATTATAAAAACACAGTTATTACATAAGAACAGTAGCGCATTTATCTATGGACTTTTGACGCTAAAGTCCTAGAGAGGATGATAAAATGTTATATTATTTATTTATTTATATTCTCATCTTTAATTTAACTTGAAAGTTCTAAATATGTTTTAATATAATTTAATAAAAAATATCATGTAATATATAACTTTATTTACTGTATATTTATTATATAGAGAGAGAGGTTTGTTTAGGGCTTTGAGATCATAAGTTCAAAGGTACACATTTTCTAAATGTAATCCTGCATAAGGAAAGTATATATATATTCTAATATAATTTGTTAATAAATTTTTAGATTATCATAAATAATAGTTCTGACTCAAATATTTCATCGATACCATGTACTTCATGTATAACAGAAGTAAAGAAACATACAGAAAAGTGTGATAAAATTATTCACAAACAATGGTTGCATGCAATAAAAGCAAAAAAGAAAATGAAAGCTTTAAAATTAAAAATACGGACATTAGAAAATCATATTAATAACGATAAATATAAAAAAGCTTTGAAATCAGTATTTACTGATGATCAAATAAAAGCTTTAATTTCGAAAAAACAATACGTTCGAAGCTGATCAGAGGATACAATTCATCAGGCTCTACGAATAAAATTTGTCTGTGGAGCAAATGGATACGAAGAATTAATCCGCCAAGAAATACCGCTTCCAAATTTACGAACTTTGCGAAGAAAACTGCAAAATTTTAAATTCGAGCCTGGAATTTCGAATAAAATGTTTGAGTTCCTACAACATAAAAAATAATATTTTGAAAAAGAAACAGATTTAGAATGTGGTTTGGTTTTCGACGAAATGGGAATTACATCAATGGAATCTTACGCTGCTTCAACAGGATCATACGTAGGCAAAATAACACTTCCAAACGAAAAAGGTATTGCATCCCATGTAATGGTTTTCATGCTTGTCGGCATTGTAAATCGATGGAAACATGTAGTGGGATACTATTTCACAGGAAATAGTTGTGAGAGTACATCTTTACAACAAATTATCTTTTAGATAATTAGTAAAGCAGAAGAAATAGGTTTTCGAGTTAATTTTATAACATCGGATATTCAACAAATACTGGCTTGTGGAAGTTATTAGGAATAAGCAGCGGAAGATATAATAAAATAATAAATAAAATTATACATTCGTTTAATTCTAGTCGATTTTTATATGTGATTGGTGACCCACCACATATCTTAAAAAATTTAAAGCAATCTTTACTTAATAATAAAGTGATAACTATCAGCAATGATACGATGATTAAGTATAAGTTACCTTCAAATAAAATTTTGTCAGAACATTTCTTTCAATTAATATTCAATAGATATTCAACATAATTGCGAACTTTTATTGACGCCTAGATTAAAATTAAATGATCTCATTTGCAATAATTTTAATAAAATGAAGGTAAACAAGGCTAGAAATGTTTTTTCTAATGATGTAAGCAGCTCGTTTGAATTGTTAGCAGATGAGTTTAATAAAACAGACTTTATTACGACTGCATGGTTTGTAAAATTGATTTCTAAATGGTTTTGTCTAATAACATCAAGAAGTTGTAATTTAGCACTTGGTAAAAAAATGAAGACGTATATAATGAAAATATTGATTTTTTAAAAGAAGTTATTCATATTTTTACAGATTTAGAAATAGGTAACGGTGAATTTAAACCAGTTCAAAGAGGCATAATGATAAGTACAACATCAATAATAGAGTTAACTGAATATCTTATTACAGAAAGAAATGTAGAATATGTTTTAACTTCTCGATTCAATCAGGATTGTCTTGAAAACCTTTTCTCTCAAATTAGACAAAAAAATTCTAAACCTCATGCGCTACAATTTACAAACGATTTGAAATTAATATCAATAGCTATGTATATGAAATATATTAATAGTAGCAATTATGAAAACGATGAGCAAGAATATTTATCAGGATTTCTTAATTATATAGGGTGTCCCATTTTAATCGATACACGTAAATATTTCCTAAAATACGCCAGCTACAAAAAAATGTTTCAAATAAAAATGGAATGGTGTCGAGGGGTATACGTTTTAGTCACATTGTTTTTTTTCTAAGTGGAGGTGCTAAAAAGATATAAAGGTCACCTCCACTTTTTTAAATGGAATTATGTAATTTTTTTTAGATAACGTGAATCCTCTAACTATTTTGCATATAAAAGTATTAAGGTAGAGATACCAAAAAACCAATAGTTTTCGAGATATTTTACACTTTATTTTGGTACATTTTGACACAAAATGTTAAATAATTCGTAAACTGTTGACTTTTTGATTATCGTACCTTAATACTTTTGTGAACAGAATAATGAGATAAATCAAATGGTGTAAAGAAAACACATAGTTCCTTTAAAAAAAATATGTATGCAAAATGGATAATTTTTTAAATACACAACTATGTGTTTTCTTCTGGAGGTGACCTTCATATCTTTTTAGCACCTCCACTTAGAAAAAAAACAATGTGACTAAAACGTGTCCCCCTCGACACCATTCCATTTTTATTTGAAACATTTTTTTGTAGCGGGCGTATTTTAGGAGATATTTACGTGTATCGATTAAAATGGGACACCCATAAGAATGTGTTATCGATACAAACAATAATACAAATAATATTAATGATGAAATTCCACCTTTTACTACAAATTCTGTATCAAGGTTGTCAAATCTTGAATTAAATAGTTTATATAATCTTGGTGGTTATCTTTTAAATTCTATTAAGGAAACATGTAAAATATGTGATGCATGTTTACAATCTGCAGGCTCAAAAAATGAATTAAAGTATTCATTTACAAAATTTGTGCAATCGAAATGTTACAAGAAAAATTCTTTATACTTTATTAATATAAATACATTAAAAATTTTTATAGCAATGGAACAAAGATTTCGATATTATAAAAAATATTTTGATGTTATAGACAATATTAAATTATTTTTAATAAAAAACTTTAATAATATTAAATTTAAATGTGATATCTTAAAGTGCCATAATCTGTTAAGAAAAATAATTGCTAGATTTGTTGTATTTAGGTTAAGAATTTATAATAAAAGAAAAAGTGATACATTACCTCAAAGATATGACAGTAAGTCTATGTAAAATATTCGTTAAAAAAATAAAAATGTTCTAAAAAGTTTATGTATACATTTCTCTCCTATATGAATCTATAAGATTATCGACGTTTGAATTGGAGCGGGAGTTGCCACAAACGACAGACCAATCAAAAATTGTCTCTCTTGTGTCCAGACTCTGGTATAGGGTCTCTAGTGACATGCCAGGCAAACTCCCATATGCGAGATCAGGCCGTGTTAATTCATTCTCGTATATTCGCCTAGGTGGCACATAGTACGGTATAACATGGCCGCCCGCATTCTTGATATGTTCTTACATTCGCAAATGTCCCGAGACAGTTGATGAGCAAATCCCGTATTATTTAATACGTGTGCCAGGTAATTATTAATAGTCATATTGTTTTCATATATTAAAGATGTGTCGTAAATTAATCAATTCTTTTTCTTAAATTATAAATAAAAATTATTGTTTATCCTTAAATTATTTACAGTTCTTAATTATAACTTAAATAAAAATGGTAAAAGTCGAATGGATCTGCATTGTACCTGGTTGTAAATCTAATTCAAGGACACCTGGTCATTTTTTTCCAAAGAGTCTTATATTATCACAAAAGTGGAAAGAAACTATAAATAATAGTATTATTTCTAATGCTTCATCAGAGGAATTAAGAAAATATAGAGTATGTCATTTACATTTTTTGCCAGAAGATTATATTTACTCTCTTAATCGGCGAAGATTAAAATATAATGCAGTACCTAGCGTAAATATAGATACTATGCATACAGTTAATACACAGGTGGATGATGCAAATACAACTGAGCAACATTCACAACGCGAAACAAATACATCTGAGCAAGATTCACAATGTGACATAAATACAATTGAGCCGTATTTACAATCTCAATCATATACCACAGAGTTACATTTACAATCTCAGGCCAGTAATGAAACTTCTACAAGTAATTTAATATGTGTTTTAATAAACGATTTTGCAAATAATGAGATAATTAATTGTCCAGGTACATCAAGAAAAATACTTGAGTCTGTTACAAGGCAATGCCATACCACAGGCACAGAAGATATATAAGAAAACTGTATTACTAGCAAAGGAAAGAAACCGAATGAAAAATCGTATAATAGGTTATAAAACACGTCTGAAAGATGCTAAAAAGTTATTAAACACAAAATTTTGTAAAAACTGTAATAATTTAACTCCGACGCAGAAATTGTTCTTCAATATGCAATTACAAAATACAAAATTTTCTCCAAAGGTAGATTTCAAAATATTATTTGATGAATTAAAATCTTCATTACAATCAATATGTCCAGAACGAAGTTAACAAAATATTAGAGCAATATATCTTTTGAATCAAAAGCTCACAATAGTATAAATTTATAATTTTTACTTTATATTTGTAAATATTTTTTACATTTATTATTTAATTTATTATTTGTAAACATTTTATATTTGTAAATATTTTTATATTTTTATATAAATCCGATTATCATTGTAAAAATTATCTATATACACTTCTCAACAAAATTAAAGGATCGTTCCACCCTGCAAAAATAGGTAAAAACTTTGAGATAGAATAACTTTGTCAAAAATCATTGTATCGAGATGTTTAAAAAAGCATTTTTAAGATTGAAATCTCTACTTTTCCACGAAGTTATTCTATCTCAAAGTTTGCCTATTTTTGCAGGGTGGAATAAGTAATCCTTTAATTTGGTTGAGAAGTGTATTTCCTAAAAATAAGAGAGACTTTATTATTTTGTAAATATAGGGAAGAAGATTCACAATCGATGAAAAAATTTTAGTACTATCGCTGTACAAACAATCAGGATCTTGTTATAAATTATTATCAAAATTATTCGTGTTACCAAGTGCTACTACTCTTAAATGTTTACTGCGAACAATTTCTTTACAATCAGGAATTAACAAATATATTTTCGACAGCATGTTGCACAAATGAACGAAAGAGATAAATTATGCATATTAATGTGAGACGAAATGTCGTTAGAAGCAAATTTACAGTATGATCAATTAAATGACAAAATAATTGGCTTTGAAGATTGGGGACATAGACGCACATCATTAATAGCCGATCATGTACTGGTCTTCATGGTACGAGGATTGTTGAAAGGATGGAAATTTCCATTGAGTTACAACTTCTGCAAAAGTCAAACAAAATCTGCACAATTATTAAGATGTATTAAAGAAATTGTAAAAGAATTGACTCAAGTTGGTTTGACAATTATCACAACTGTATGCGACCAAGGAGGGCCAAATATGGCAACTATTAGAAAACTTCTCGAGGATTCAAAAAACAAATGTATGCAAATAGGTCAAAAATATCGTGAGTATTCTGTTTTAATTAATATAGTATATTATATTTGAAAATTAGAAAGAGAGAAAGAGAGTAATTAGTTATTATATTAAAACTGAATATATTAACATTTTTAAAGTTATTTTTTCATTAAAGCATCAATATTTTATTTCTATAAAATATTCAATATATTACAGACTTTAGAAAAAACTCAATGGTCGTTATAGTCAATTCTCTTAATAATTTTTAATTTTTTCAAGGAGGTACGATAGAACTTTATGGGCAAAATATTATACCCATCTATGATCCACCGCATCTTTTAAAAGGAATCCGTAATAATTTATTATTAAAAAATTTGGAATTTAATGACACTAATCCAAAAACAGACGAACGACAATTTGCCTCGTGGGATATTATTGAACTGGCCTATAAAATGGATATTAACACAAATACATTAAATCGTCAAGTGCCACCATTGACTGATGAACACGTAATTGTATCAAAGATTAAAAAAATGAAAGTTAAGTGTGCTGCTCAAATTTTTAGTGCAAGATTATCAGCATATATTGAATACAACAGCAAAATTAAAGGTAATTGCATAAGTGTTATCACTTCCTTTTAATTTATTAAATTACTCAATATATTTACATATATTTTACTTGTCTTATAGGAGAATTTATTGATTCACAAATTGGTCCGCTACAAATACCGAACAAGGCAGGGTACGATACAGCAGTGGTATTAAATCTTTTTAATAAAGTTTTCGATTCTGTAAACGCACATACTTTGTATCCAGAGACTCCTTTACGCGTTGCAGTAACAAAAAATAGCAATCATCATGATTTTTGGCCATATGCTATCAAATTTTTATCCAATATGCGATATGTAGATCCAAAAACTAAGCAGCCAGTTAAGTGCATACCATCATTAAAAAATTGGATTTTTACTCTACGTGGATTTCAAAGCATATGGAAAACAGTTAATAACGCAGGCATACAGTTTTTAAAAACAAGAAATATTAATCAAGATCCACTAGAAAATTTTTTTGGTATGATTCGTAGCCATGGACGTAGAAATATTAATCCTTCATGTAGTCAATTCTGTGGATCATATAAAACATTATTGATTAATAATTTAACTTCAAAACGGTCTTTAGGCTCTAATTGTGAAAATAAAAATGATGGTGATTTGCTATTTACATTAAAAAACTTTGTGAAAAATGCTTCTCAAGTAAACAATACAGACCAAGTAGAAGAAGATTCTGTAGAATCATTCCAAATTTCGCAAGAAATGCATACAGTCTCACAGCATAGAATCAATCATGCGTATGTCGCTGGCTGAATTGTAAAAAAGGTTTTATCTTTGAAACAATTTAAAAACTGTGTAGCATGTAAACGGAGTCTCTTAACAATGAATACAACACGTAAAGAATACATGCAGTTGATCCATAGAGAATATGTTAAAAAAAAACCTTCGTTAACTTAACCCGTCTATGTCTTTTTTAAAACAAGTATTTCTTGAAACTGATTCAGTTTTAAATGAAAACATTTCTTCAGTGTGTTTTCGAAAAAATGTTTCTGTTTTGTTACATGAACGTTTGAATCAAAAATTAAATTTCGATTTTATACTGTGTTTTATACATAAGGAAGAATTAAAATTTAATTCTTCCTTATGTATAAAACTAATAATTATATATGATTGGTATCAAAAACCAACATCATCAGGAAGATATCTTAATTATTTTTCACAACACCATGAGAGTCACAAGATAGGAGTTATAATTAGTTTAACGGATAGAGTTCTACATTTGTCTCATCCATCCTTTCACGAACAAAACTTAGACAAAATTATAAAAATTTTATTACATAATGGGTATCCACTTAAATTGATTTTTGATACTATAAAGAGAAGAATATATAAGAAATTGGATTTACATAATAATATTGATAGAGTAACTAATAATGACAATAATCTTAATAATAACAAAAAGTTAAATTATTTCACAATGCCATATATATCTAATTTGCCTAATAAAATTAAGAATTATTTTAATAAATGTGAAACTTATAAACTGGCTTATAAAGGTATCAATAATTTGGACAGTATTATTAAAGTACAGAAAGACACATTACAGACTATGTTACACTCTAATATAGT